TGAAAACCGATTAAACCTATGACCCATTGCGAATTAATCCATGTGGCCCGCTATTTACGGGTTTAAATATATTTTCCCCAAATCTGCTCCATAGTTGAGATGATCTGGGCTCGACCCGCGGTTTTTGACCTATTTTGACTGCTCTAATTCCCATGAATCGTCTAATTTTAGAATTTTAAAACACCAAATTCTATTTTGTAAATCATAATTAATACGATGGGTATATTTATAACAATTGTACATTTTCTCTACAATTCGTTATTATGAATATTTATAAGTATACTACACGATTCGTTCTATTAAAAAAACACACAATATTAAACGCAACGTATGTAAACCAATATTCTTCCGCAGTGGACCGCGGGTCCGATCCTAGTTTAGATGTATAATACCCAACTGTTTTCGGTTAGAAGAAAAATACTAATAAAAATTAAAGAATGCGATTTAATACCCAAAAAATAAAATGTTGTTATTTTCATATTTCTAACTAAAACCTCCAATATTTTTTCGTTTTTATACGAAATCTCTAAATTGAAATCTTTTTCTAACTAAAGCCTTTAATTTTTTTTTGTTTTCGTTTAAAAATTTCAGCCTATTAACTTTGTCTAAATAAATTTTGGAATGAACTCGAAAAATGGTTTATTGGTGAACAATAATTCCGTTTGGAACAATAAATGATCGTTCATGTCTTCATGACACGTTTTTCTCTGTGAAGGCCATGAATGGATGCTGCTTTCTAATTCAATTTTTGAATTTTAGATTTTAGTCTTAGATTTTGCTATTCTATTTTTGTCTTAAAAAAACTAAAAAAAATTGATTTCTGCTTTTTAGAAAAATAATGTAGATAAAATATAAACTAGTTTCCTTAAAGTATAAGAGAATTAAAAATCTAAAACCTTGAATGGGAGATTATATATAGCTCGGAGATTCCCCAAAGTGTTTTTTTTTTAATTCTAGGGAAATCAAAAAATTAAAACTTGTTATGACAATGAGATTTTAACAACAAACGATCGAAAATACTTTTTTTTTTTTTTTTATGGTGTAATAAATAAGTTTATCAACCAAAGGTCGATTAGTTGACTAGAATGTATCCTAAACTAATTTAAGAAATCACAAAATCGAATGACAACAAGTACGAGTAAATTGTTAAAGATTAGTCCGAGCTTAAAGGGATGTATTGAGTCCCCCACTCATAACTTGTTTTCAATTGTCTATTATTGTAAGTTTTATCATGTGTGGCATTAGTTTATTCTTCGTCTATTATTGTAAGTTGATCAAGTGTGGCATTAGTGTGTGTGTGGCATTAGTTTATTATTCGTAAGTTTAGTCTCTGAGATTTTTCTTATGACGTGTCCCTAACTCTTGGGTAGGAAATTTCCTCGTGTGAACGACTTGACTAAAACAAATTGACCAACTTCGATTACTTTTATATTCTGATAAGAGATATTATCTTTTTACTACACTCAGATTATTAGATAATTGACCACTTCGATTCTTTTTCTTTTTTTTTCTTTCACACCACCAACTTCGATTCTAGAAAACGA